GGCTCCGTGCCTCGCCAAGTTCTTAGCCTCCCGTCTTCTACTGGTCGTCCGTTACAGCCTGGCTCACCGCTGCCTGCTCCTTCTCCTTACACTGAGCTAACAGGTGGTCTTGCTGAGCATCGTGAGCCTGCGTCTCGTCCTGTCTCGCCTGTTCGCACTGTCCGCACTGGTTGTACTGGTCGTCGTGTTCCTCGTGAGTGTCCGCCGGCTGTCCCCGGCACACACCTCATGGCCCTGCGTCCTTCCTTTGCTCCGCAGCGTGTTCCCCTGCTGTCCCCTCCTGCGTCTTCTCTGCCTAACGTTCCAGAGCCTGAGTCTGACCGCGCTCGTGCTGCTCACCCTACTGTCATGCGTCTGCTAGCCACAGTTGTCACTGACCCGTCGTTTGAGTCTGCTGCTGCTCTGCCTTAGTCACTGAGCTTGTTGACTTTGCTGCTGCCTGTCGTCTAGACTACATCGCTAGTCTTGTTCTAGAGTCTGAGTCTGTCTGTCCTCCGTCCGTCGGGGGTGAGTGTGCTCTTGGCACGGACGTCCTTGAGGACAGGCAGGAGGACCTTGAGTGTCTTGCAGCCGCTGCGCCTCATCTCGTGTCCATGCTGCTTGCCCCTGAGGGAGACCCGGATGCACCAGACATCCCGACTCCGCGTTCTTACGCTGAGGCGATCGCGGGTCCCTACTCTTCTCAGTGGCAGACAGCCATGGACGCAGAGATGGCATCCTGGAAGTCCACAGGCACTTATGTCGACGAGGTTCCCCCTCCTGGGGCGAACATCGTCGATGACATGTGGATTTTCAGGGTGAAGCGACCGCCAGGTTCTCCGCCAGTCTTCAAGGCTTGTTACGTTGCTTGAGGCTTCAGTCAGCGGGAGGGAGTCGACTTCTTCCAGACCTTCTCCCCCACCCCGAAGATGACCACTCTTCGGATGCTGTTGCACGTTGCCGCTTAGCGTGACTACGAGCTTCACTCTCTTGACTTCAGCACAGCTTTCTTACAGGGCAGGCTGCACGAGGAGATCTGGCTGCGCCGCCCACCTGGCTTCACTGGGTCGTTCCCTCCTGGTACCCAGTGGAGTCTCTGGCGGCAGGTCTACGGTCTCCGTCAGGCGCCGCGTGAGTGGCACGACACACTGAGGACGACACTTGCGGCTCTTGGGTTTGCTCCGTCGACTGCTGACCCGTCGCTGATTCTGCGCACCGACACTTCGCTGTCGCCGTTCTACATCCTCGTGTACGTCGACGACTTGGTCTTTGCCACTGCTGACACTGAGGCTCTCGCCCTGGTGAAGTCGGAGATGCAGAAGAGACACACGTGCACAGACCTGGGTGAGCTGCGCAGCTACCTTGGCTTGCAGATCACCCGGGATAGAGCACGCCGCACCATCACACTGACTCAGTCACACATGGTGCAGCAGGTTCTTCAGCGCTTCGGCTTCACCTGGTCCTCGGCACAGGCCACTCCTCTGGCTACAGGTCACTCGCTCTCAGCTCCACCTTCGGACGAGTCCGTAGAGCCAAGTGGTCCTTACCCAGAGCTAGTGGGCTACCTCATGTACCTGATGACCTGCACTCGTCCTGACCTTGCGTACCCTCTTGGCCTTCTGGCTCGCTACGTGGCTCCTGGTCAGCACCGAAAGGTGCACATGGATGCTGCTAAGAGGGTACTACGCTACTTGTGCAGTACATCAGGCATGGGGCTCGTGCTCGGAGGACGGGGCGACGTTGTCCTCACTGGTCACTCAGGCACTTCTTGGGTTGACGACTTGGCTACGCAGCGGTCGTCACAGGGTTACACCTTCAGCCTCGGCTCTGGCTCTGTTTCTTGGCTGTCTACACGCTCTTCCTCTGTTCTCAGCTCCAGTTGCAAGGCTGAGATCTACGTCACAGCCATGGCTGCACAGGAGTTACGCTGGCTTACCTACCTGCTGACCGACTTGGGAGAGCGGCCTCGTTCTCCTCCAGTGCTGTATGTAGACAACAAGGCCGCCATTGCCTTGTGTCAGGAGCACAGAGTGGAGCACAGAACGAAGCATATCGCTTTGCGTTACTTCCTTGCTCGAGAGTTGCAGCAGCGTGGTCAGCTTCGTCTTGCTCACGTGGCCACTCAGGCCAACACTGCTGATATATTCACCAAGGCACTTCCGCCTGGTGATCATCAGCGTTTCTGCACTTTGTTAGGCCTTGTGCCCACTTTGCCTCACTTGCTGTAGACTTTGCTTGTACTGTGATCTATATATATACCTGCATGCTTGCTTTGCTAGGTAGAGATCACTGAGCTGTTGTTGTTGCATATATACCTCTGCATGTGAATTGGCCTTGTGGCCCTTTCCTTGTGCTTAGTGTGTGTGGTGACGTTGTGATCCACCCTGAGCTTGCTTTGCTTCTCTTGACTGGTCTTATGACCCCTTGCTCTCCCCCACTTTGCCTATGGGGGTGTGCCAAATTTTATGCATGTTATATATGTGTAGGCTGTAGTGGGGTAGCTGTGAGAATTGAGGAATGGAAGAAGGAAGGGTTGCACTAGCAGCAGTTGGCATACATATAGGAAACCCTAATTGGGTTGTACTCGCTATAGAGTACCCCACTGCAGGCTAGACAATTATAACATTCTGACAGTAGCCAATATGGGGTACAACCCCATTAGGGTTTCATATTTGTACCAAACCCTGATCTAGTCAATTCATTCCTGCTAGTAGCTTCTAACAGGATTGACATCGGATGGCGTGACGGAGGGAGGGGAGGCGCGATGAGGGTAGGAGAAGCTCGATAAAGAGAGGGGAGGCGCGACTATCTGAGGCGCTCCTGAGAGGTGCCCTCCCATAATGACTAGTTTGTACATGCGCTTGTGAAGTCCTAAACCCTTCGTATTTCCTGCGGCGATGCGCTCTCGGGATGAAGAGCGGAGAGCGAAGGTTATTGCTCTATCTAACACAAGATTAGCTAGCAGGGATGGCATTCGCATTTGGTGTGACGGGCTGGGTGGTTTGGTTTGTCGCACACCTCAGCCAAGGTTGGGGTGGCTTACGAATTTCTAGTATGAATAGGCGCAAATAGGCGCCCCAGGTCGTCTGGCCTGGAGAGAATTACCGCGGCGCGGGCTTTGCCTTAGTGATTTTTTTTCGTCGCGCTCAAAATTTTCCACAACCCAAAACTTTGACACCCCACCTTTTGTCCCGCGCGGTACGCGCTCCCGACATTTCGCATTATTTAAACACATTTAGGGTTTGTTTTGGAGGCGACCCAATTTGTCGGTGGGCAGTTCGCTGGTTGACATCGAACTTCTCTGCCATGCAGTGCCATCCGATTGGGCATTTCGCTCCTGACAGTGTGGAAATTCGTTCTTGCGCGAACATGTTCGGACTGAGTTTCGACTCACTGATTGGGGGAATGGAGGCTTGTGGGGTTGAGCGTGGCGATACTAGATTGGCTAGAGTTTTTTAACCATTCGGTCGTGCCTGTCGTCCGCATGTACAGATACATTAACGTAAACCTGCACGTTACACAACTTCTTGTGTCGGGCGTCTCGGTTAAATTCCGTTGTTCTGAAACCGGTTCCACTTGCCAGAACCTGCGACAGACAAGTCATGCAGGACTGCCATGCGAATGGCTGAGTTGGCGGTGGCTTCGCAAGTTACTGACTGGTCCGTTCTTTTTTTTTTTTTTTTTTAATTATCGCGCCACTTCTGAAGATGTATGCCACATGTATGGTTTTGATTTGGTCTACTGCGTTCATTTCGTGTTAATAAACGCGCCAGCGATCATAACACAATTCTGTCACACCGATTTCTGACGAGACGCACTGGTCACAACCACCGCCAAAATTATGCCCCCTGGGAATGACACGTAATTTGTTGTTGTTCCTAGCTGTGATTTCGAGCACATGCTACACATTCACCAGATGCAGTTCTCGGTGTCGTTCAGGCTAGGGTTCAGCTCGCGCCGTTAAAAACATTGCCGTTGCCCACCTACATATAGCGATGGGATAACATTGGTGTTGTAGCAGATCCACAATGGAGGAACCTCCGGCTAATGGCCGTGATATGTATGACATCATCCTAGAGCAGTACGACATAGAGTTTGAACCCGAGGAGGGACCGACTATCAATGACAACGCCGCCATTCAGGAGGGTAACTGGTACTCCTCGCGGGATCATTGCCTCTTTGCCTTGCTTGATGATGCGGTAGTGCATAAATACGGTTTCTACATGAAGTCTACCAGAAAGGCATCGGCGCTGGCGTTGTGCAAGAGCCAGAAGCTTGGTTTGGAGTCCGATTGTCCATGGCGGTGCAGCTATGCTTGCCTCCAGCGAAACGGACCGTGGCGAATCGTACAGCTGTCCGATCCCGCAGAGCACACATGCGACCGTGTATACCGCACCCGATTGTGGCCGGGTATGGGGCGTAAGAGGAAGTACCTTTGGCAGAAATTCGGCAACTTTGTCCGTGCAGCGCCATTCAACGCCCCTTGGGACTACGCTAGGCAGATTCAGGCCTGCTCCGGTCCGAAGTTAACATACAACAACGCTTACCGGTGAGTGTACACCAGTCATATGCCAAACACGTTTCCACCGTCTCTACTAGCGACTCTGTTGCAACCACATCACTCATGTCCCGATACCACCTAAACATTCCACCTACGCAGGCTGAAGGTAGGGATCACGGAGCAGCGATTCGGCAACTGGTGCGAGTCATTCCGCTATATTCCGGCGCTGCAAGAGCGGATTCAGATGATCGACACCGGAGCCACTGTGGAGCTACTGACTTACAATCACGAATTTCTCCGCTTCTTCATGGCGCCGAGTGCAACACGCGAATCACTGAAGACGTGCAGGCCTGTCGTCGCCTTGGACGGGACTTTCCTGATCCATGCTCAGAAGGCTACTCTGCTGTACGCCAATGCGATGGACGGCAATCAGCAGATCATCCCCATCGCGTGGGCGCTCGTTGAGAGCGAAACCAAGGACACATGGACTTGGTTTTGCCGGCTCTTTGATAAGCACTGTTCAGACTGGAAGGGACGAGACGACGCGACCATCATCAGCGACCGGGACAAAGGCCTCATCCCCGCGGTGAAGGAAGTGTTCCCAGAGAAGGTGGCGCACTACTTCTGTGGGTGGCACATGCAGCAGAACGTGAAGCGGTTCGGGAAGAATTCCGCGGACATGTTATGGCGGCTTTTGACAGCCCGGTCTTTGGACAAGTACAACGAGCTCAAGGTCGGTGCACGGGAATCACATCCCTTGCTCACGACTTACCTCTACGGTCCGGCGCCTGTGGCCAACGCGCCGGGGCCAAACCCCACTCCACCAGCTGGCTTTCGGATTCGCCGACGCAACGTTCAGCAAACACGCCGGACGCGCGCGACCGCCAACAACATTGCGGCCGAGGCGGCGGAAGCACGGCGGCAAGCTCGAGCATCACAGTCGCGACGACCCGGCCGGCGACAGAGACAGAGCGGCGCAGGACGGCTACCTCCGACTTCCGCAGCGCCAGGCCCATCAGCAGCGACTCGGCCAACCGCACCGTCGTCTCCCTCCTCTGCGCGCCGGTCGTCTGCTGCAACTGCATCACCCGCAGCGCCCTGCCCATCAGCAGCGCCAGGGCCGTCAGCAGCGCCCCGCCCATCCGCAGCACCGTCGCCCGCTACTGGGACTCGCCCATCCGTTGCACCTGCATCATCCGCAGCGCCCCGCCTATCCGGTGCACCGTTGCCCGCTTCTGCGACTCGCCCATCCCCTGCACCTGCATCATCCGCAGCGCCCCGCCCATCCGCTGCACCCTCACCCGCTTCTGCGACTCGCCCGTCCGCTGCACCTGCATCATCAGCAGCGCCCCGCCCATCCGCAGCACCGTCGCCCGCTACTGGGACTCGCCCATCCGCTGCACCTGGATCATCCGCAGCGCCCCGCCCATCCGCTGCACCGTCGCCCGCTACTGGGACTCGCCCATCCGCTGCACCTGCATCATCCGCAACGCCCCGCCCATCCGCTGCACCGTCACCCGCTTCTGCGACCCGCCCATCCGCAGGGCCTTCATCATCCACAGCGCCGAGCCCATCCACCGTGCCATGGCCTTCTGACGCCCCTCGCCCGGCCACTACTGTAGGGCCATCCGCATCACCGTCACCCTCCACTCCGTACGACCCATCCGCAGCACCAGGTACGTTTTTAACCACGATGTACCCTTCACAAATTGGTCGAAACGTGGCACATATGAAAGGCATTCTTTACATCATCAGGAACTGCTCAAATGGTACCGCACATCAAACAACAATAATGTCCATTCCGGTGTCCCTATTGCATCCCATCTTGCAGGGACAACCACACCATCTACATCCGAGCCAGTTCCACCTCTACTACGCCAAACTTCACCGATTGTCGTGCCTAGCGGATGGCGCGGAACTGCCGCATGCTTCAGCTTTGACAACATTGTGCTGAGAGCTACGGTCCCGGGAGTTGAACCACCAACTGCGGCACCAACCCGCCAGCCACCACCAACCGCGGCACCAGCCCGTGACCCTCCGCCTCCCACCGTGGATCCGGGAACGGCGACTGGGCACGACACCGAGGAGAGGCCCAGCGTGGTAGAGGACGAGGCGACGGTCGTGGAAGTGGACTCCCTGGAGGACGGTGAGGATGGTGTTCGGGTCCGAACAGGCTTTCGCGGTGACTACACTGCACGAAGGAACAGAATCTGGGTGTACGAGAAGCAGTGGGCTTGATGTGCGGCACCAACGAGGAGATTCGGCATCTACACTAGCAACATGGCGGAGTCGACCAACGGGTCCGTAAAATCCATCCGGCGCCTACCACCCGCGTATCTGTTAGCATTGATGTGGGACTACAACGTCAAGAAGTTCCATGAGCGGCGTGAGGAGGCGAGGGCCCGGGATGACTACTTCACGGAGTGGGGGAGGAAACGGTATGAAGAGAAGTGCGAGCGGGCAAAGAACTACGAGGTGAAAATCTCGAACATCCAATTCCTGGCGGAGGTGGTAAACAACGGCAACACATCGGACCCTGCCCCACGCAGCTTCAACGTCGACCTTCGTGGCGAGGGCAAGTGTGAGTGCGGCAATTGGACAGAGTATGCTTTTCCGTGCGCACATGCCATGGCGTTTTTCCCCATTGCCAACAAGAACGGGTGGGAGTATATCAGCGACTACTACACCACATTCAACCTGCGTCGCACATACTCCCACACCATCCCCGGGACCTGCATCGACACACTCATGGCACAGACAACACCTGTGCCTCAAGGAGTGTGTGATGCTCCTACGTTCACTCGTAGGGGTCCTGGCCGTTCCCCTTCCTACAGGCGCAGGGACACTCCGCCGGCGAACTATCGCTGCAGAACCTGCTTGGCGCCGAACCACAACTCCGCTACCTGCACCCAGAAGTATGGCTCCCACAGGGCTCCAGGAGGTATGTACCACACGGTGGGGTGAGTTTGGTTGGAATTATAGCAGAAGGTGATCGTACTGGACTGTCAGATTTATATGACATAGCTACTGTAGGCTATAGTGGGGTAGCACATATGGGGTACAGTTTTCCTAGGGTTTGCATTTGTACCCAACTTTCCCTTAGTCATTTCATTCCTCGTTTCTTCTCATGGACTTGGTGCACTGATTCGCTTAATCGACACTTAGCACCATAACAATCAAGAATTATCAATGTATGTTGCATGAGAGATTCAGCGGTTTAGGGAGCCCAACTCTTGTAGTGTCATGTTGGTTAGGCGTGTACTGCTGTAATGTGTCGCGTAAATCTTTGGAAATGGGATTAGGTATACAACCTACAAAATCATCGCGCTGAAAACAATATCTCCTGTCACCATGCCATTTGCCTCCCATACATGTGAGTCGCGAGATTGCTATTCGTTCGGATGTTTTTTAACATCACAGCCTGTGCATATTACTATTTAGAATTCCGAAGTCGCGATTCACAATGCGTCAAACACCTATACACCATTGACATAACAACACTGCTTAACGGTAACCCGATTGGATTGTGTTTTTGAACGAACTAAACTGTGACGAATCTACCACATAGGGTTGAACACGTGGATTGCTCCTCTGGTAAACAACCACACGCGCTCGCGTAGTATCAAAAACAATAACACGTTTATCAAACACACTCATCGTGCTAAAAAACATTAGCCCCAGCCACCCGGCCAATTGCCTCCCACACATGTTAGTCGCGAGATTGTGTTTCGTCCACATGTTTTTTAACATCGCAACCTGTGCAAACGAATGTTTAGGATTCCGACGTCTAGATCTACAGTGCGTCGTTCTGCTAAAAACCATTGCCACGTCAATAGTGTTTACCGGAAACCCGATTGGATGGTGGTTCGGAACGAAATTAACAGTGACAAATTAACGACATAGTCGGACACGTGGATTGACCGATCACAAATCAGCAACCCTAAATCGTCAGTGGCGATCACCAATTTTCAAAGGTTCCGGGTTGCTCCTCTGGTAAACAGACACACGCGCTCGCGTAGTATCAAAAACACTAAAACGTACAACAAAAAAACTTATCGTGTTTAAAAACAATAACACCAGTCACCAGGCCAGTTGCCTCACACACATGTGAGTCGCTAGATTGCGATTCGTTCTGACGTTTTTTAGCCAAATGCACAACCTAAAAAGGCAAAGAGAGTTTGTGCAAAACATTGACAGATTGTTGAAAGGTGCATCGGCGTCTGCAGAGGGAGATGGCTCATCGCCAACGGGCGCAACGACTGAAGGTTATGGCGCATCCTCGCAGGGGCCGCACGTTGTGTAATCTTGCACAACATGTGCGGAAAGAGGGTTGACGTTAGGAGTATGCACATGGCAACCGTGACCCTGCTTGGACAAGGGGTGCCATCGCGGATTACATGTGGGAACCGTGTGTTCCCTCGACACAGCAGGCTCTGATGGAGAGACGGAAAAGACTGGTAGACGACTCTTACGCTAATCGTCGGCGCCGCGCGCCCATATCTCCACATCGTGATCACCCGGAGAGACGGTGTTGACGTCGGTGGCATCGCTGCTATGCACGCCGACGTCGCCTCCAGCAATGTGTGGCGGATGTCTATCGGGAGGTGGTGCAGTCTCACCGTGTGGCGGAGGAGGGCTGGCGTCATTCGCTCCACGTTGCACATGTTGGGGCGTTGATACAGTCATGCGCTCGCGGGCAATGCGCAAACCCTTCGCCATCCACTCACGGACTAGACCCTCCATGCGCGTCATGGCGTCCCCGTGACAGTCTTTGATGGTCGCGTAGACAAGCTGGGCGGCTTGCATTGTCGCCGTCTCATGCACCCAGGCGCGCTTAGGCATAGCAGTAGTTTGCGGCGGTGGCGCTGAAAGAGGGACGGAAAGAAGCACACTTTGTGTGACCAGTAGCTTCAAAGCTCTGTGAGGTTACCGTTCCATGATACATGTACACACACAATCCGTTGACGCATGTTTGCCAAAAAGGCTACGTAAACAACCGGTTCACATGCACATAAACAACCGGATCACACCTGTAAAGGTCGGTGTCGACGTCACTGGCTGAGAGGAGCTTGGAACGTTGTCCACGTTGGCGTTCGTGGTGGTGCCGCCGTCCACTGCATGCAGGGCGGATGCAGCGGTGTCCTTGTTGTATAGCTCTAGATATGGCCACCATGGCGGTTTCTCCACATAACCGATGCCCTCACCGACATCTCCTCGTTTATACTCGTCCCACGCGGCCATCAACTTGCGCCACTGCTGCCGTATCGCGTTGACATTCCTGCACCAATCCGGGTTCGACTCCTTGATGTGAGCGTGCAGGCTGACCCAGTATTGTGCCCCCTGCTTGCCCTTGTGCGTCTCGAGTTTGTCTTTGGTAAACCACCGCGCCGCGGCGAAGACAGTGCTTTCCTTGTCCGACCACATGCCCTTCTCGATTGGGGCAGTCGACCTCTTCTTCCGGGGCTCCTGTCGAGGCGTTAGTGCAACCGCCTTGCCTTTGCCTTTGTCAACAGCTACGCAGCGTGCAGAGCTCCGTTTTGGCGGCGGAGTCACAGGATGCGCTTTCTCCTCCGCGTCATTGTCGACGTCGTCATCGTCGCCCTCATTGTCTGTAGGTGACATCACACAATCTTCCTGCTCGTCATCCTCGTCGTCGGTGCCTTCAGCCTCGCCTTCATAATCGTCGTCGTCGTCGTCGACAACTGCTTTCTCCGCGACGGGCCGGACTGTTGTGGCGGTTCTTGTAGGCTGACGGCGCACGCGTGACGGACCCGCGCTGGGTGATGGTGCACTAGAACACTGCCCGTCAGGCGCGGGCGCCGCGGATAAGCCGGTCAGATGACGGCCGTTAGCTATCTGCAGCTTTATCCAGCGGATGTAAGGGATCTCATTCAGGTCCTTAGGGCAGTCGTTAAGGGACTGGCCCTTACGCTTGCGCGCCATGACGGGAACGGGCTGCGGCTCTAGATCTAGATCTAACGGGACAGAGATCTAAACAAGGAAGGATTGACTGGAACACAAGTGAAACGGGTAGTTATGTTTGGAGGAGGGGGCGTTGTTGGTGAAGTGGGGAGGGACCCGGGGAGAAGGTGCACTAGAGGCAGTTGCGCGCGCCTGTCAATAATTCCAACTGCGTTTTATCGACCAATCACACAACATTGTAGGCGTTGATAGGGACTGATGTGACAGTTGAATGTTGTCCGGGTACATTCAGCATGGGGGGATTTTTGGCACCTCGTGCGACGGAGGTAATGTGGTGCGCTGTCATGCAATTAGCACGCGACAGTTCTGCATCTCTCGGCGTCCGATGATAATTATTTTCGGCTAAACACGAGTGTGCCCATGATTCGTGACAGCTGGCAGCAAATGCTGTGCATCACGGAAGGTTAATAAACACGACCAACATCACAACGGGTTATAAATAACCCTGCCCAGTCCGTGAAACCGGCGTCAAATGTCTCCCCCGACCGAACCGACTTGTACAAGGACTCATGCAAATGCTTCGTCACGTCGAACCGGCCGACACTTGCGGCGCCTTGATTGGACGACTCCGTAGGTTAAATAACGGAGCGAGAAACGTGGATTGTTCACGGGCACGACAGGTGGAAATATACTATAACGGCAACATTCGTTTTGTCCGCTAAGAGATGTTCCGCGGGATGGTAATAAGTTGGCGAACAACTTAGAACTAGATTTCCGTTACGGTCATGATACTGTATTCGTCTTCTTGTGCTTAAATTGTATCGTCACATAGCAACGGTATGATCGTCTCACGATTGAGAGTGGTTTGAATGTGGCAACGGTAGTGATGTCTTGAACAAAGTGTTGTTTGTGTACAAATACTTGCCAGTAAGCACTAGGAAAACAAGAGTTCTTTGTGTAGTGTGTGAGAACGCGTATGCCCCTGCAAACCAACGTTGTTTGAGTAAAAGATCTATGAATAGCATAGGAATAGTCATAAGAGTTTGGTAGCGGAGGTCTTGTGGTAGAAAGTCAAATCTTAGTGAATGTATATGACATAAAAGAATACAACCAAGATCACCCACATGATTAATAGTTCCAGCTAGCCATGCCCTCTGAGTGGTACAGTCCACTATTCTAAGTGCCTTACAGGCATTAGTACCGTGACTTGGCCGGTCGCACACATTTCCTGTTACCTATGACAGTTTAGGTTAGATGATAAACCGGATGGGTTGCTGTTGTAGTTGGTTGCATAGGTACCCAGCATTTCATCTTCATATCCGTGCACCATGTGCTGCGATCCGGAGATGATCGTAACTAGGATCACCTCGGGTAGGTTCGCACACTTCTAATCTATTGGTGGTGGGCCCTTGACCTCAATAGCAGGGTGAATGTAAATGCTTGAGATGAATAAAAACATGCAAATACACCGACATAAATAAGAGTACAAGGGAATATGAAACGTCCTAGCTAGCCATGTACTCTAAGGGGTACATTCCCTTATTCCCATTCAAGTTTTTGAGCAACATGTTACCTGTTGCCCGTCTATCCCAAGATTCCTAAGTCATAGGCTTCCCCGGCCACAGAGTGAGATTTGTATTCTGTAATTGTTTTCCGCAAGCTGCTGTAAATAGGGACAGTACTTTATGGCCAATGCCGAGTCCTTGAGTATACCAAAGTGTTGCTTTTGAAGTTTAGTGTTAATCCACCCTACAAACTGTAGCCCGCGTATAGCTTATAACTTGCTAAAAGTATAATCAAACCAAGCATGCAAATTAGCTGTTTTCGAGGGCGTCCAACTTTGCCGACAATGTCGCATGTAATTGGTCTATTTTAAGCCGTATCTCTGCTATGCCAGCATGTAAACACTGTACTTCTTTTCTAAGCTCCAAAACCTCTGCATGCTCGGCTAGCTCAGTTTCTGATACTGGAGCGCCTACCTCTATTGTTACTGACCCCTCCTCACTCCTCCTACGAAATGGTCCTTGCGAGGGGACCATAACACCATCGGCCTGTAATTGCGGGAGCAGTGCACCACCTAGCAGCAAATCCATGTCAGTATGTAAACATTCCCGATAGTCAGCAGGGTCCATCTCTAGATACAAAGGCCCTTCGACGTTATCAAAATCACGGGCGACAGGATCGTGGAGAAACATGCAGGTGTATATGCCACAGTCTTCACTGCCGAGTGGCTGCTGTGGGATCTCCCATGTCTGCATTAGCACCCAAAACTCAGAGAATTGAGGACATATCAAACCACCACATGTCGTTCTAATGACACAGCTGGCGTGCAGTTACCTGTAGTATACGCCACTCAATTGCTTTAACGTGATGCAGACTGTCTTGTTCACCTACTCCGGTCTTCACACGATGGATCTCTTTAGCCACCATCCTGTACATACAACGCGTGTATGGTCAGTGCCTCCGCCATTAACAAAAACAGATATGGATACCATGAGTCCCTAAAACGATGTTTATACCGCTCGATCACGTCCCATTCGCAGCCCATCTCGCAGTGCGTTCCGACCGAGTCATAGTGATAGAACTTTGGCTGGTATTCAGGGGAATGATGCAAACTCTCCGTCAGAAGGTGTCTTGCGTTTGCGACAACAACAAGGCTGAAATGAAACCTGCGCATCAAAACTTCAAACACTCATCAGAAAGAATTGGTGGATTTGAGTGGCCCAAGCTTGTTCATTGTTGTTTGTCAAACTCACCTTCCCGTGACAACAATCGCGACATAGTCGAAGTCCAGAAACGACCTTTTAGCTGGGCAGCAGGCAATGAGTTTACCATGCCTCGACATGTAATCGAAAGCCTTGGAGTCGAGTGCGATCCATGTGTGACCGTTTCTAAGCTTCGGGGAGCGTATGTCGAGCAAACTGTATGGCACGGAATGAAGATGTTATATTCTTACGGTATTAGGAAATACCCACAAGTGAATGACCATAGTTTACTTACATGTTGTGCAAATCGATGATGTTGTCGTTAACTGCGAGATATGACGTTATGTGATAAATGTCCGCCCATGAGATCGTAATACCAAATGAATGCCAATTGTAGATATTGCTCGATATCCTCTCTTGAGGTGCCACGTCGTGATAGTGGTTCGCATTGTCTCTTCCGTCCTGCAGGTCGCTGTGAACAGCAATGGTTGAGTCACAGCAGTCGTTAATACTACTAGTAGTTGGGCCTAGTCCCGTGGTGCCGTAAACTGTTGTGGTCATGATGTCGGTGAACGTAAGCTCGTCTCTGGGCAATGGTTCAAGACGAGGAGAATTATTTATGTTGGAGCTGGTGCTGCAATTTTGAAGCTTGCTACGTATGGCTTTTGAGTGTTCTTGTGGCTGTCATCTTAGGCACGCTGAGATCGTTATGTTCCGATCATGAAAGTGCTCCCACGCTTTTTCGCGCGCTTTTTCAAAGTATGACGTGGACCAAACGGCCACGATGGGACGTGCCTGATTTCGCGATTTTAGCATGTACGTGCCAGTTTGAGTTAGGGCCAATGGTTGTCTGGTTTGTTCGTCACCTCAAATTGTATTGACTGTTCGATTGTGATCGCCGTAAAGTTCTGAGACTTCAGATTCGATGTGCTCATTCTCGCCTCACTTAGGCTTTGACGATTGGCCAAATCAGGATCAAAGTTCATGATGATAAAAAACACGCAGCGCGATCAGGTTCCTAACATCGATCATAAACGCGAAGCACGCGTGCTACACAGCATGGCAGCACCGGGTCGTGTGAGCTAAAAAACACGGATATGAAGCTTTCATCAAAGCCGAAATAGTGGAGTGTGTATTAAAAAAAATCTGAACTCCGTAAAGAAAGCGACGCCCACTGATCCCAACTTTAGCACACTATGCTTTGAAAGCAACGTCCTAATCTTTCAGGGCCTCTAAATGTCAAACGTAATACAAACTAGCATGCATGTAGAGAAACTAGGTAAACATGGTGGAACCACAGACAGGGTATTAGCTGCAGCACTTCGGTGTTTCTCCTGTGCCCTTCACACACGCACACACGCAATTGGAGGGGCATTACTTTTTTTTTCCATGGTTGTTCCGAAAGGCAAAACGAGCATATAGTACCTCAGTTGTAGTGCTGATTGTCGTCCGTGTACTGCTGGTGCCCACCCTAGGCATGCGACAGGCCCATGCCTGGTGGTTGAGTGGCCTGGCTGCTGCTCGGCGCTGCATGCTGCCTTGGAGGCAGCATCGTTGGAGCTTGAGGTACCTGCAGAAGAGGCGCCGCCCCAATTTCTGGCATAAGCTGCCGCCATTCGCGCCACCTGTGCCAGAGTCCAGCCCCAGCTAGGATCTCCACATGTTTCCGGGTGCACCCGGTTAGCAACTGCTGCTCAGACGGTGTGAGATCAATACTTCGCTGGATGAGACAGCCCGGCGGCCTAACCACCAGAGCTGCAGCCTTGTATCCCTTTGCTGCATCAGAAGCTTGGCATGCCAGGCATCTCCGCCGCCTGTAACGCCCATGTATTTATACTTATCCCTTCCCTGGGTTAAGGCGTCGGAAGCTGCTCCGGCGCCTCCTGCTTCGACTCCAAAGTCGCGCGGCCAATCCACGCCGCTTTCACCCGCGCCACTCATACTCGGGAATGCGGGAGGTGGGTATGATTGCTGCGGGGGGGGGGGTATGTGCTGTGGTGGAGCTCCCGGCCAGTAGTACGGCATCCCGGATGGTGGCGGATATTGCGGCAAGGGAGAGTACCCTTGATGGAATATGGGCGCTGATGGGCGTGGAGGAGCTTGGATAGGAGCGACTGGACGCTGCGGCGCGGGTGGTCGAGATGCCGCATGCGGAAAGTACACCGCGTCCCGTGCTGGTGGCACGCTCGGCTGCTGCGGCTGTGCATGAGCCGGGGCTGGAGATGGCGATGCGGGGGAGTATTGGCCTTCGCGCGATGCTGCCACGTTCTGCTGCTGCGGCGCTGCTTCTTGGTTGGCCCCAAGCCGCGAGGCAACCCGGAAACCTGCAAGGGGGGAGGCCGCGGTGTCGTTGAGACCCGGATCTGGGCAAGAATCCACCCGCTTGGAGGGCGAGGCGGCGTCTGGCTGTCCCGGGGCGCCCACAATGCCCTCCTTGTTTGCCGCCGCCCGGCCCTTCTCGAGCGCTGCCACACGCTCGCTCAGCTCTAGGCTCAAGTTCTCGAACTTGGCCAGCAGATCTGTATAATCGGCGCGCAGAGCCGCGACCTCCTTTTTCATGAGCTGCACTTTGGAGCTCGTCTCCCGGACAACACCGCTCATCTCCGACACTTCGGCACTTATCGGTACGGGGCACCTCGGCATGAGCTTCTGTGGTGGAAGCTCGATTCCCGCTGTCTGAAGTGCAGACAGCATATTCCCAGAGATATGGGCGCACATGTCTGCCTGCCAGTCGCGGCGATAACGGGCAGGAGAGGTCGTGAAGGCGATCGGGCCACCAAGGCGCTGGAAGCCGGTGGCCACATGCGTATGAAGGTACATGCCAGCGTAGATGCCACAGTCCAGGCTCTTCTCGGGCTGCCGCGGGATCTCCCAAGTCAGCTGTCAACATAATACGAGTGATGAGTGGAGCGGGAATATTTTTAGCGCTCTAACAAGAATGAATAACTCAGACTTTACACATGGGAATCAACAGTCTTACGTCAAGAGCTCAATATGGCAAGGAGCCAATCCGAGACTCGACCTCAGATCGTGTCAATTCCGGAAAGACACGATTCAGCTCCGATGCAAGGATACTGCCGAAGAAACGCAGGATAGTTTGGTTAGATTGGTGGTGACAAGAATACAGCACGTGCACACAAATCGCATGCTTACTAGCGAACATTCGTGACGACGGCGGTGTTGCCGGCGTGGTGGCCTGTTGAGTCGTACAGCCATAGCCGTGGGGGTGGTGCGTCCCCACCGTCGGACGGTGCGACAAGCGTCCTGGCGTTTTCGAGGACAAACAGGCTGAAATGGAACCTGGAAATTACAAGACACGGATGTTAGAAGTGAATTTTCGTGGTAACGCAACGCAGGTAACTGCAAAACGTACTCTGCCGCAGCAAAAATAGCAACATAGTCGAAGCGCAAGAAGGTGTCTTTGTTCTTGCAGCAAGCGATAAGCTTCTTCTGTGACGCCATGTAGTCATAAGCTTTGACGTCGAGGGCGATCCAGGTTTTCCCGTTCTCCAGTCTCGGATGGCGAATGTCGAGGACACTGCGCAGGTAGAATGACGGTGTATAGGCAGGGTAGGATGGAGGGATGGTGACTTTGAGTATCAAACAGTCGAAGTCGTTAAAGCGGAACCGGTAGTAACATGGCAAACATGGTAATCTTTTATGCCGGTACTTACATGTTGTGGAAATCCAACGCGGTGTCGGTGATTGGTGCCGCATCCTGGATGTGGAGTGCGTCGGCCACGTTCAAGGATGTGCCGAACCCATGCCAATTCGAAATTAACTTGGTGGGCCAATTTCCACTCTTCACCAATGGTTCTTTCTTTGATGAACACGACGCGTTTATGCCCGGGAGCTCCTTGGTGCTCCGGGCCATATCGGCTATTAGATCCTGTGCCGGGGGTAACGCATTCCGGGGTGGAAGCAGAGGAGCGAACGAGTATGGTTCGTCTGTGACTCTAGAACGGTGCGACCGTGTGGACGCGCCACTAGGGTGATGCTGTTCTGCACCCGTCGTTCGTGCGCGTCTAGACTGCTGTCCGTGTTATAGTCACAATAGGCTTGAATGTGCCTAAAACGAAAGATAGAGAGCACAGACGGATTTCTGCACAGCGGCTTCAAACGTTGATAGCGTTCTGCTCACAGCTGCAAATGACTTGATTCAAATTGGATCTGGAGCGTCTTCACGTCTTCTACAATTAGCAATATAGATTGCACGATTTGATAAAGAATTGACGACACAGCGTCGGTTTGAACGAACGGTACTATGGCAGCCACTATAGTCTTAGAACACAAGATAGGAAGAGTTACGAGTTGGGAATGACTCCCAGCTCCTACAAACCCCAAGAGCCGAGGTACAGTGATGTGGAACAGTGCCACACTGTCCCCAACCACGAAGGGTCTCGAAACTACCCTTCACTAGGGCCTACACCAAGTGAAATGTTACACTACACAAAGTAATGTAACTATCTTCAATATCTTGAGGTGTACCCTTTTGGCGAGCTTCGAAATCACTTGAGGCTTGACACCAAGGCTCGGGCTCTTCATCACAAACTCATCCTTGAGTTCTTGATGGGTCTGCTGCACACACCTGCGACACGCCGAACGTTCGACACAGGACAAAATAGAAACCGCGCACGACAAAATAGAAACCGCGCGCGAGACACAAACGACCGCGTAACACGCGTCTAGCGATAACTCGCTATTGACTCGACATACACACTCGACATCATGACTCAACATTCACACACAATTATAAGCATGAAATATGTTATAGTCACAATAGGCTTGAATGTGCCTAAAACGAAAGATAGAGAGCACAGACGGATTTCTGCACAGCGGCTTCAAACGTTGATAGCGTTCTGCTCACAGCTTCAAATGACCTGATTCAAATTGGATCTGGAGCGTCTTCATGTCGTCTACAATTAGCAATTTAGATTGCACGATTTGATAAAGCATTGACGACACAGCGTCGGTTTGAACGAACGGTACTATGGCAGCCACTATAGTCTTAGAACACAAGATAGGAAGAGTTACGAGTTGGGAATGACTCCCAGCTCCTACAAACCCCAAGAGCCGAGGTACAGTGATGTGGAACAGTGCCACACTGTCCCCAACCACGAAGGGTCTCGAAACTACCCTTCACTAGGGCCTACACCAAGTGAAATGTTACACTACACAAAGTAATGTAACTATCTTCAATATCTTGAGGTGTACCCTTTTTTGGCGAGCTTCGAAATCACTTGAGGCTTGACACCAAGGCTCGGGCTCTTCATCACAAACTCATCCTTGAGTTCTTGATGGGTCTGCTGCACACACCTGCGACACGCCGAACGTTCGACACAGGACAAAATAGAAACCGCGCACGACAAAATAGAAACCGCGCGCGAGACACAAACGACCGCGTAACACGCGTCTAGCGATAACTCGCTATTGACTCGACACACACACTCGACATCATGACTCAACATTCACACACAATTATAAGCATGAAATATATATTATCCCATGCCCTCATACCATTCCATACACACACACATTCACGCACACGGACAACAAGCCGAGTGCAAACCGTAGGGTTGCACCAACAAACTCCCCCTCGGATTGTTGGCCTTAGGATATGTTGCTCTCTCAGTTCAGAGCCATCCCAGCCAGCTTGCAACACTTCCAATGCTGCTGCTCCACCAGCCTCTTGGTCATCATGTCAGCCGGCTGCCCCGTGGTCTTCACGTAGCGCAACTCAACTTCACCCGCGGTTACCATGCTCCTCGTCCAATGCCACTTTACCCTCATGTGCTTCGTGAGTCCATGCAAGACATGGTTCTTAGCAAGAGAAATGGCACCCTGGCTGTCACAGTACAGTGGGGTAGGTCCTTGCTGCTCCTCCCCCAATTCAGCCAACAAACGCCGCTGCCACACAATCTCCCGTACGGCACGGAAGAGTGCCATGTACTCGGACTCCACCGAGCTCAAAGCTTGGTCAACCTGCTTCTTGCTCTCCCAAGCAGTTGGACCTCCACCAACACAGCATATGAAGCCTCCCACACTTGTCATGTCCTCTGGTTCTGATGCATATGAAGCATCCGAGTAGGCGGTGAGGAACAAACGCCCGGGTTCAACACCATCCGCGCCCTTTTGGCGCCTTTGTGCCGCCGCCGAGTATTGCAGCCCAACGGTCGGTGTTTGGCCAAGATACTTGGCCACCCTCATTCCAGCTGCTACCTGCTCCTCATTAGGGCATTGCACAACCCTAGCCAGCTGCCCGGTAGCAAACGCGACGTCCGGTCGGGTGTTTACCGCCGCATACATGAGGCTGCCCACCAACGAGTGAAATCGGCGCCTCTCCTCTTCACCAACGCTCTCCTCCTCTGGTCCCCTCACACACTTGAACCCAGAGGGAAAGGGTGTAGCCACATGGCCTTCACTCTGCCCAAAGTTGGCAGCCAATGCCTCCAGGTACTTTCGTTGATGCACCCGCATGCACCGCTTCTCCACATCTCGTTCGATGTGGAGCCCAAGGTAGAAGCTCACGTCACCAAGGGCCTTGCACTTGAACTTGTCTTGAAGCTTCAGCATCACCTCCTTCACAAGGTCAGAAGAGGGTGAGAAAATGAGGATGTCATCCACATAAACCACCATGAAACTCCTCTGCTCCCCCTCGCCAAGCATGAACAAGGAGTGATCGGCCGTTGAGGGAGTGAAGCCGATCCCCTCCAACACTTCGCGCAGCTTCATGTACCATTGCCTAGGGGCCTGCTTCAGCCCATAGAGGGCCTTCTTCAGCTTCCACACTCTGCCACTACCATCATCAAACCCCTCTGGCTGCGCCATAAAAATCTCCTCCTCAAGGATGCCGTTAAGGAATGCCGTTACGATGTCCATTTGCTTTACTACCCATCCTTTGATGGCGGCTCCCGCGAATAGGGTTCGCAGCGTCGTCGGCTTCACCACAGGGGCAAACAGCTCCTTGAAGTCCACCTTCTCCTTCTGCTGGTACCCCTTGGCTACAAGCCTAGACTTGTAGCGCTCGATCTTGCCGTCGGCATCCGACTTGATTTTGAAGAGCCACTTGGACGTTATCGCCGTACGCCCCTCCGGTAGCTCCACCAATTCAAACGTGTCATTCTCCTCGATGCTCTTCAGCTCACTCTCCATGGCCTTCTTCCACTCCTCAGCATCACTACTCTCCAAAGCCTCCTTGAGAGTTGCTGGTTCTCCCGGCATCTCCACCGGAGAGAAGAACGCGAAGGCACACTCCTCGTAGTCACTCTCCTCGTCGTCTCCGACCATCATTGCCGCTCCGGCCAGGGCTGTCTTGCCCTGCTTTCCCGGCGCATCATAGGTCAGCCTATTAGGGGGTTGAACTCTCCTCTTCCCCCTTCCTTCCTCCTCAGCTGCAGGGACTTGAAGGCCTTGGCGTTGCTGCGGTGTGGCTCGAATCCGTGGAGCACTCGTAGTACGGGAAGGGAGTGACGGTGCACGCTCGCTCACTTGCTGCACCTCCTCCTCTTCTTCCTCTGCATCATTGGCCTCCTCTCCCCCATTCACAAGGGAGGATTGCCTTGTGGTTGTGCTGCCGCTGCTCAGCTCCAAAGGCAGCTCCACATGCTCCAAACCGGAACTCTTCACCTCCCCAAACCGCACGC